CTACTTACTACTACGCGCGCGTGAACCAGCAACATTTTGGCTGGAAAACGCGATAGCCGTCGTCGTTCTACTACTGGTTTTAGCGAAAATGTCGTAGTGATGGAAACAAGTTATCAAAATAATGTTAGAAGATTTATTATTTTGATATCGGGAGAGGGCTTTACCTCCTTCAATAAAAATAAACGTGTTAACCTGTTTTGTTGAAAAAAAGTAAAACGAAGTTTTCCGGGTGTCTATATTTTTTTAGAAAACGCGAAAAACAGTTAAATCTCGGGCTCGTAATCGTATTCATCCTCGAATCTAAAGACCACAAAAAAATTAACATCAAGTTTTTAGAATTTATAGGTTTAAACAGGACGCTCCTGGTTAAATTGAGAGAAAAAAGCATCGTGAAATGAACAGATATCGTAGATTACCATGATCGAACAACAACAACAAAAAGGCATAGCTATTGTATTCATATGGGAATAATTTGCGCACTCTACGCAAGTTCCAATTTCTCTCATTTCTCTGTCTTAATTGGTCATGAAGTGCAACTTTAATAAATGACATTGTAATTTTCTTTGGTAGGTTTTGAAAATTAAAGGAAATCGAATATTGACATTTTAACATAATTTACCTTTTTCAAGCTGAATTTTGGCTTCATTCGTGGCTTTTTTCATGTCTGTTAGTTCGACCTGCTCTTTCCACAGTTTTGCTGTTTGAAACAGATATCCCTTTAGCTTACTGGTAAATGTTGATCTCTGAAACCTTATTATGTTCATGATTTGTATCGTTTGATTTTTTTCGTTTTACTACCGAAAAACATCCAAGTGTCGAAAATAACTGAAGCTAATTTAATCGATTTAAATAGGACCAATTACAGCTACCAGTAACTGCGATATTGTCACTAAGTGCTATGGAGCATTCATAACTTTTTTAATAATAAATTTATGAATTTCATATAATTATCTATTTCATTTATTAATATATATTTCATATATTTTCATGGAATTCATATATTCATTTTTTATTGTTTGGCTTCCTTGTTTTTAACACCCCGGGCCAGCTGTCATCAAAAAGTGATCTCTTTCAAACTAGTTTTCTAATTATTAACCGTTTGAGCTGAGACTTTGCACAATAATAGAACTTTGCATTCCCAACAATCGTATGTTTTTGGATTTTTGATTTTAACGGTTTTTGGCGCGAAAATGACGTCATGAGATTGACAGCAAAAAGTAGTTTTCGACTTATGGCGTAAACAACTGGAACTTTTAAAAGAACTTACAGAGATGAGCTCAAATGTGAAAAAAGTATTAGTAAAGCTTAATTGGTTGAAAAGTTATTGAGCTGTGAATTTCGTGTTTTCCGCCATTTTGTTACTATTTTTAGAGATTTGGTGATCTTTAGAATGTCATATCTTCTTAACCAAATGAGGTTTTCAAAACCTTTTTTCACATTCAAGTTCTCCTCTGAGTACTCTTTCAAAATTGCTAACCTGTTATGGCTTAAGTTGAAACTTATATTTTGCTGTCAATCTTATGACGTCATTTTCGCGCCAAAAACCGTTAAAATCAAAAATCCAAAAACATACGATTGTTGGGAAAACAAAGTTCGATTACCGTGCAAAGTCTCAGCGCAAACGGTTAACAAATTGAAAAACTAGTTTGAAAGAGATCACTTTTTGATGACAGCTGACCCGGCGTGTAAAAATGTCCGGATTCGTGTGAATTTCCCGGGTAAATTTAATGACCAGCTCTCAGTTGGCTTGATAGCGCAGCTGTTTAGAACGCTGCACCGGTGTCGCAGAGGTCAGGGTTCCAATTCCGACAAGCCTGAATTTTTCAGGCTTTCGGAGTTTCCGCACACCGACGTAAATTACGTCTTTAATTTCGTGCATGGATCCTTTTTGCATTTATTTCTATAACTTTTGTGTTAACAATCCCATTTGTTAATTACTATGGTCTGGTTTCTTAAGGTTTTGAATAGATTATGAGGCAACTCAGTTGGGGAGAATCAGCAAGCGATGGTGGATATGACCGTAGTCTTCCTTTTGTCAAGAAAATAGTTTTGATAATTCAGTAGTCCATTAAGAACAAACAGGCTTTCTTTAGCGTTTCCAGAAAAAAAAAATAGCAGTTACTCACTGACAAGTGAAGTAGGCTATAAGCGTTAAGTACGTTTTTTTTTAAAGTTGAATTATTCTATTCTAGAAAAAATAGATTGCTCAATTATTAATTTCAAAAAAGTATTGACTTTTTTAGCCATAAGTCGTTGCTATAAATTAAAGTAACCGACAAAAAGGATTGTACTGCTTTTTATATTTTAATAAATTACTGTTTGATTAATGAAATATTGAATTGATCATGCTACAAGGATGGTAGGTTGGAGTAATAGCTAGAAATAGTTTGCTATCATTCTTTTCTTATTAATAAATAAAATGTTACTTGCAAAAAGTCTTTGACTGATTAAGCTATTTTAAAAATATTCTTCTTTCCTCTCGGCCACGTTGCTTGCTTCAATTATGTCTTCATCTGCCACATTCTTTTGATATTGGCTTCCAGACCTTTATACTAAATAATTTTTCGGAACCCTTGGCGGAAGTATTTTTGTCATAGGGTATAGTTAATATCAATCAAGATGCGTTTCTTATCCTGATTGTTCGTCATGATATTCTCAGGGGCAGCAGTTTGCAGAAATGTCTCCATCTATATGAATTAGCATATCACATGGTGATGTCGCCATTTTACTCCACCGTAATTCGGGTATGTTCGTACCACAATTCTACTGTGTGCTGTCAACGTCATCATCATCATCATCATCATCATCATCATTATCATCATCATCAGCATCAGCATCAGCATCAGCATCATCATTATCACCATTATTGGTATTCATTAATAACAAACTAATAATGATAAACCTCCCGTGACCGACTACCAAAATGCGAAGATTTAATGTTCTATACGAACTACAGTTGATCTCTTCCGAGAAGAGTTTCCGACAGGTCTATACCATCTACGTTTCGTACGTCAAGTGGTCGCTTGTAAGAAGTTAAAAACAATAGAAAACTATAAAACAGTCAGACCAAAAAAAAAAATGGGGACGGTGGAGGTGGTAGTCTATGAGATCAGTTCTAATTATAAAGTTTTGACTGAAAATTTCGATCTTTTAAAAAGATGTTCGAGACCACACGCTTAAGTGAGGTGGTCGCGCATTGACGGTTCTGTGTAATAGATTCAAAGAGTTTGTGGTACCTGTGTTGTGGATTCGAGGGAAGGAGTATGAAAAGAATAAAAACGGGCTGCAAACTCCATTTTTTTCTTAAGGGCTATTCACATGATAACTGGATGGCTTTCATTCTGAAACGAGTTCATGTCATCTCCACTTGATTTCCCTGTCATCTTTTACATGATACCAAATGGACCTTTTATTTTCGTACAAGTCATTCCGGTTTTCAATGCTGCTTGCACCTTTTTTCTTTATGCTTTCGTCTTTGCACGGCTTGTCAGAAATCTTCCGCTTTATAAAACAGCTTAGCAGCAGCGCTACATCTTTCACGATGTCAAATGGAGAACAACGAGTTTCAAGAATTTGTTTTGTTTTCAAAAAAGCGTCTTAAAAAAATTCTCTTACTACAGTTCTTTTTAACTATAACCCCAGCTCAAAACTATAAAAAAGGCTTATCCTCTTTCCTTACATAAATATGAATTCAATGTATAAAGGTCGGCCACTCATAATGATAAATTCACTAATTGATAGTTCCGAAATCTGTATTTCCATTTAAAATTTATTGCAGATTGTTTGTTTGTTTGTTTTGTTTTTTAACGAATTAAAAGTGAGATAGGCCAGTCATTTTAAAGAGTTTAAAAATGGTCATCTTAGTAGACAGCAAGGTCAGAAGCCTTGAAGCTATGCAAATCTCTCAATGACTTGTATAACCGTTAACAGTAAACAGTAACCGTTAACAGTAGATTAAGCTCGAAACAGCCAATTTTAAGGACGATTTATTACTAAGGAGATTTTAAGTAAGCATAGAGGCTTCGAGCGTTTCCAAAAACAACAAAAGCAAAAGCACAAACCAGCTTTAAAAGTTCAAATCGAAAACTGTCATTTACAGTTAGAGAGTTAAAACAATTTTCGTGCGATGAGAGTAAAAGAGGAGAATCACAACGGCATATCCTGTGATAGGCATGGACAGCTCTTAATCCAGTTCATAGTCTTCTCTTCTAGAAACGAGAGAAGCCGAAAAAAATGTTCATAAATTCTTGAACTTCTATTTCTTGTAAAGAAATAATACTACATGAGTGCTAGTGCTATCAAGCGTTAAGCGTAACTGATGTTGGTTCTGAAACAGCTTTTGGCTATGCAAATGCTATAAATACTCTCATATACGTTCATACACGTTACTTTATGTTCATTGGAGTCATGGTTTCTATTTGAAATAAATTACTTATTAAAAGACGTAGATTTGTTTTTATTTTTTATCACTATGTTTAAACTCCAAGACTGACTAAATAAACATTTTAATTATTTGGTTTTGTTACCATATGGCCTCTATTGGACTGTGAATCTCTAGGGTCGGGGACATTAAAGATCGCAATGTATGTTATTGATTATTTTTTCCTTTAATTTTGTTGTTTTTTAATTTACTGTTAGATATATTCATAAGTTATTAAGCCAGTGAATACTCTTTCGGTACCATCGAAAAGACTACAGAACTGAATTCTCTTCAAAGTTTTTTTTCGTTTTTTTTTTTTTAATTAAACTTTTTTTTCAGCGTATCTACTTTACAGGCTTTTAAGAAGTCTGCAATTGACTGAGGTACCTTCTTAATCACAGCCGTAGAACTTCTCTTATTAACTTTCCTCATTTTTAAACATACCAAAACTACAAAATAGCTTATCTTCTTTCCTACCAGTAATTCCTTTGCTTCACCCTGTAAAAGCCCTTCAGCTTTGTATGTACACAAATCGCGAGCAAGACTGATCACAGGCACTCCTCACAAAGGTAAATTAGTCATGTCTTATTGGCAGAAACCAGTTAACGTCTCCACAGATGGCCTAAGTGAAAATCATGAGAAAATAATTGTTTGGGTGCTAGATTCTATCTCGTGGACCGTCGCCCCCTTTGCCATACTAATGAACGCGTTAGTTGTTATAGTCGTGTCTCCAAGAAAAGAGCCACAAAAAACCTCCAATATTCTGTTATCAAGCATCGCACTGGCAGATTTTTTAACAGACATTGCATCTATACCCGCTATCACTACAACGATACTAATCGTTCACCAAGGCTCTCTTGAATTCTTACGCACGATAAACAAAGTAGCCGTTAACTTAGAGGGTTTCTTTTTTTTCTGTTCTCCGTACCACCTGACTATTGTTGCTTGGGAAAGGTTCGTAGCCGTACGGAAATGGATGCATTACAACGTAATTATGGCAAAACAACGTATTATCAAGTTCGCAATATTCGCTGGTTCTTGACGATTTTTACATGGCTGCCTCTATACGTTATGACTTTTGCTATCGAGGACAGTTAGGCGAGACGAATCTGGATTATGATTGTGAATTTCTTTGGAATCGTTAACGTGTTATCATCGCCTATTTCTAGCTATGCCATGATCTACAACGGAGTATTTATTTATTTTATTTTATTTTATTTTATTTTATTTGCCACACTAATTACAAAAAATATAGGAGAAGAAGAAGAAGAAGAAAAAAAAAAGAAGTGGCGAGGAGACCTAACAGAAACTATAGGAGCTTATGAGAGGTTAGGCCTCCTCGAACTATGAGCTAGAGCTCATACGAGTACGAAAACGTCGGACGAATAATATGAACAATTCGACCGCCTTAGCACAAGCAAAACTGCAATCTACCATATATTGCCAAAACGACTGGTTTGATAACAGCTGCTCTCCTATTCACAATCGCCTTGGGTGTTTTCTCCTGAACCTGAGACTGCGATTTCCGACTTCCCGTCGTGATTTTTTGGTCGAAATTTCACGGACAAAAAAAAGATCGGAACCATCATGTCCGACCACAGGCTTTGCTGAAGAAAATGCTTTGGAGATAACTCAATTTTTTTCAGCTCCATTTTTTCGACTGATTGAGACAGCATCGCCGCTAATCACTATTAAAAAAGGAAGAAAACGGTGGTAGCAATATAGTTAGGGAAGGAGTATGAAAAGAATAAAAACTTTCTGCTTGGAAAAGAATTTTTCGTAGGGGCTATTCACATGATACCTGAATGACTTTCATTCCGGAACGAGTTCATTTCATTTGCTTATATTTTCCTGTCATTTGTCTACATAATACCGAATTCACCTTTCGTTTCCGTACAAGGCATTCAGGTTTTCAATGCGAATAAAATTCTTGTTCCGATACCAATTTTAATTCTGGTTTCATGTGAACTGAAAACGATCTTTGTTTGGATTAAAAATGTTACCGTTTTAATTTCTTGGGATCTAGTTTTAAGTAAAATTTAGAAATTTTTAGTAGGATTTTATGTCGTAACTTTAATGTAATTCAGATCAGGTATTCTCTTTTTTATCGTTGTCGTAAGTTATTAATTCATCAGTTTTGTTTTCATGAACTCTGTAAAGCTCTAGAGTTAAGGCTGTTATTTTAATTAATTTGATTGTAAAAGATATATTAAATTCATTGCAATTAATGACTGTTTTTGATAGCTTAGACTAATTTAATGACCAAAAAAATTGAAATAATAAACTATTGCTTACTTTCCTTTCTGTTATACTGAATAAAAATCGTTTCCATATTCCTTTTATATTATTTGGTTTGTTACCATGCATGTCGTCTATATATTGTGGAAATCTTCTGACTCAAAATATGTTTTGCAATTAAACGTTTTCTTTTGTTTTTATTTAATTTACCGGAAGATGTGTTTAAAGATTTTAATCCTAGTGAATTTTGGCTGTACAGAGAAAAGTCTCTCCAATGTCCTTGTATAATATTTTGCAATTAAACTTTCTTTTCATTAAAAAATAGATTAAGTGAGAGACTTAAATGCTGTAATTAAAAATATAAATTAAAATCCCTGCGAGAGTGGGGGGACATATGTATGAGAGGTATAAGATGAGCGAGTGACACAGGACAAAGACCGCTCAAAACAAAAGGTCCACAATATAGGAACTTTCTGCTAGGTTCTGCTTCCCCTTAAGCTTTGTATGAAACGCTAGAGGAATTGGGTGATTGCAGGCACACCAAAAAAGATAAAAATAGGTATGTCTTCTTGCCAGACACCAGTCAACGTCTCCGCGAGTGGCCTGAGTGAAAACCATGAGGCTATAATTAATTGGGTGTTAGCTACAATCTCGTGGACTGTCGCTCCCCTTGCTATACTTTTGAATGCGTTGGTAATTATAGCCGTGACACAAAGGAAAGAGCTTCAGAAACACTCCAATATTCTGTTATCAAGCATTGCGCTGTCGGATATGTTAACAGGCATTGCATCTATACCCGCCGTGACTACCAAGACACTAATTGCCCACCAAAGCTCTTCTGAGCTTATGTGTGCAATAAACAGAGAAGCTATGAACTTAGAAGGTATCTTTGTTACCTGCTCCCTGTACAACCTAACCGTGGTTGCTTGGGAAAGGTTTGTGGCCGTGAGGAAATGGATGGACTACAAGGTAATTGTGACAAAACGTCGTCTTTTCAAGATATCAATAATCGCTTGGTTGTCGGCGATTCTCACTCGACTCCCTCTTTACATTACAGTTGTAACCAGTGGGGACACTAAGGTGAAATACATCTGGACTACAATTTTAAATGTCTGTGTAATCGCGAACGTTGTTACTATCGTTTATTTCTATGCCATGATTTACCACGGAGTGCGTAACCACCGGACAAGTGATTTAAAGAACGTTAACGCTTTAGCACAAGCAAGACTAGAATCCAGGGTGGCAAAGACGACTGCATTGATAACAGCTGCCCTTCTATTGACGATTGCTGTTAGTGGAATTCTTGTTATGACTATGAGATTGAAATTTCCGACCTCACGTCCCACTTTAGCTATCGAAATCTCACGGACGCTACTTCGACTAAACTCTGTCTTTAATCCTGTCCTTTACTGCTTTAAAGACCTTCGTTTCCGAAAGGCGGTTCTTGAGCTTCTAAAAATAAGAAAAACACAGGCAGCCCAGAAGACAGGTCCCAACGTGCAATTTCGTCAACAAAAAAATCAGCATTGCTTACCAGGAAATGTTTAACAAGAGCTGAAAAACGTAAAGACTCGAACCCGTAGGAGAGGATCAGAATCACTTTATTCGACCAAAGGATTTGCTGGAGAAAATGCATTGATGTTAAAGAGGTCACATTCAGTTCATGGAATTACGGATCAGTACAGACGATCTTGGACAGAATCTCTTCGAACGTGATTAGTCAGTATTACAGAGTTTATGCAACCACAAAAGCCACAGCAATAGAAACGTCAAATAAAAAAAGCAGTGGTGTTAATCAGAGCAAAACAACAACTCCTCAAGTGCATCACACTTTTTTTGTACAACTGTTCACCGACACTGTATAAAGAAAGAATCCATAAGACACGTCTTGTAGTAGAAGACGTGTATTGGATAAGACGCGAATTTCTTGCACAAATGGCAGAAAAAAAAATGTCTTAGGCTCGTTCTTAAGCTATTTCCGTAGCTTTAAAAGACGCGCGTTTCATGCTCACTTAAATGGTACAGTTGGTGTCTTATTTGAGAAGCGTTTTTCTTAAGAAGTTATTTCTGACTCTCTAACATAGTCAGATCTTCATTTAGCGTAGTTGCTGGCCAGGAAATGGTAAAAGATAAGATTGGTTATCCGCCGTTTTTATTGATCGATCCGTAAGTAAAGTTAAGTCGATTTGTAGTTTTGGAGGGAGGCACCTGAGTGTGTGTGTACTAGCAGCATGGCAGGTAATACGGCTGCACATGCGCTCTAGAAGAGAAGACGTGTTTTCCCAAAGAGTTCGAGTCATTCACTTGCGTTGGTTTTCTATAGCATCGTACACTCGTTTCCCTACGATTTTTTGCCGCCAAGATACGTTAATTATCTTTTCGTATCGTTTTTAATGTCTCAATTATTATTTTGGTTTACATATGCAGCTTTCTTTTCGTCTTCATGGCAACAATACGCCGTCGCATTGTAACATTGGTGTCTGATCTTCTGCCAGGTTTAATTTCTAGTTTTAGTCAGCAACACATAACATGTCTTTTTAAATAAAGATATTGCAGTCATTGCTTGGTAACGATCCTGTATCACACTTGTACACACCTTTTGCTAATAGACGGCCTATTAAGTGGTTTCTGTGAAATGCCATTCCTAAAAAAAAAACATTCGCAAAGAAACTTGCGTACATCTCAGTTTAAATACCATTATGTTTTTGCTTCGTTTTGTTTGGTAAAAGATTGCAGTTAGCTGTAAGCCTTTTATATTAACTTCTCGATGACAAGCAGCCGAAACGTTTCCATTACAAGAGATGTACATTTTTAAATTTATTTTTCCGCAATTTGTTTCTGAATCACTAATTTTTTTGGCGATTCTAAGTATTCTACATTAGTAAGCCTTTCATGGAGCAATTATAATAGAGGACCATTTCACTAGACGGCAAAGTTTGAAGTTAATGCTATGCAAATCTGTCTTGGATCACCGCCAACAGCAAATGAACAGATCATGAAGCACGAAACAACTAATTATTAACTCAGATTTTGTTTTTCAACTCATGATCAGTGAAATCTGTTTGTTGCGTTTTCAGAAAAATACAACTGTTAAAAAAATTCAACTAGAAAATGTTTGCTTCTAACTGGTGAGAATAAAATGTTTGTCACAGCACAGCACACCTGCTTTAATCCGTTTTCTTGTGTGCTCAAAGAGAGAATGAAGCCTGATGAGCACCATGTTCGTAGCACGTCCGTACTTGGATTTATCTAAAACGAGCGCTGAGAAAAGTTGAATGCGTTTTCTTTTGCAGAAGTTGTCCTACGTTTTATGTAAAAATCAGACTCGTGCGGTGGAGGGGGTGGAGGGGGTGGAGGGGGGGCGGGGGAAGGGGGAAATCGTCAATCGCTCCCATAGGGATCGAGAGGCGGATGAGCTTGCCCATTGTGACGTCACGAGCAGTTATCCCGGGAAGTTCTAAGGGTTTTTATAGGGGAAAATTGTTTTTATGCTGTGGACAGAGAAAATCCGTATCAGAACATGTATCTTGTCTCTGAAATTGGCAATATTCTCTAGCAAATAGCATTTTCACTTCCATAAAACAAGCATTTCTTGAGATAGATCGTTGAAAACGTGACGAAATATTGAAAGCCTGGGCATCTTCAGTGACGGATATCAAAAGAATGCAAAAAAGTTGGAAACTGAGAGAAACACACGAAATCTATATGCCTTGGGTCTTTCAATTAGTATCAGAAGTGAAACATTTAGCAAAGTAGCAAAAATGATCAGTTTCTCTAAAGTCATAGTCTGTGCAGTCTGCTACCACACAGCCGTTTTTAGTGTCGTCACGCAACGCTCCTCCCCACAAACGGCTGCGGAGAATCGAACCACATTCCTTTCCCGCGGTTAAGGTTTTCGCGCCAACGTGACGTCTCCAATCACAGCTTTGCTTTTATCGTTGTTCCATTTGTGACTGACAGAACAATAAAAATCGTCTCGTAAAAACAAGCCATTAACTGGAGTAGTGTTGTCGTAGTCCCATTCAAAATTTATGAGATAAGCAGCAGCAGCAAGCAAGTCCAGCAAATGTGATGCACAAAATGTGCTTACAAAGTTTCCGTGTATAGGTTTGGAAAATTGCTCGTCGATTATTTGTAAGATTGCTTTAAATTGAATCAGTACACTTGGGAGTTTATTCCTCACATGTACAGCAACCCCGGAGCAACACAATGACCTCATCCGGCACATGAAATTCATCATACATGTGCCCCCGGACATATACACGTTAAACTGAGAACCAACCGATCCTGGTAAGAGTCTTGTATGCCTATCAAACCTTTTCTTTTTAACTTGGAACTTTTCTACAAATTTTAATTAAAAGCCTTTTGCAGCTTGTAGACACAGAGCCCAGCCGTTCAATTATTCAGAGACGATTGGTTTGTCGAAAATTGAGAAGCGTGTTCGCATCTTAGCGTCCTGCTGCTCACGTATTGTCAAGTTTCTTATACATGATTGGTTTCTTCGTTAGACCATAAACACAAAGGGAAAGGAATGTGGTTCGATTCTCAGCAGCCGCTTGCGGGGAGGAGCGTTGCGTGACGACACTAAAAACGACTGTCTGTTCTGTCGCTCTTTGTAATTATCGTTGCACTTTGTTATACTTATCGCACTGTGTAACAAAATTGTCGCACTTTGTAATAAACTTTAAATTGATGGTCGGAGGACACGTAAACCCTAGAAGAAGTACTGTATTATTATCGACAACAACAATTTACAGTATTAATAACAATAACAATAACAATAATAATATTGTTTTTATCATTGAGGATGTTTTAAGATGATTATTATTTATATAAGAGCCACTCATAAAACGGCCACCACAACAACAACGACGAACTTTATTTGCATTTTCATGACCATAGTACATGCAGTATTATTGCAAAAGCTGTTTTAAGAACCAAAATTTAACATTATAGGGCAATTACGTTACTTTGGTAATCATGTCACGAAGATCAAAGCAAGCTGAAATATATTTCAAGAACTACAGTATATATTGATAAAGTATGATTAGAGGATTTCATCAGTTCATTGATCATTGGGTAATATCTGGTATCAGAAACTTGACTTTATTGTAAAAATTTTTCCCAATCATAAAGTATGTAGGACAGCGAAAAAGCGGAACTTCGTCTTCTATTAGACTGGATCCACAAAAAGGGCGCAGAACACACGATAATGTTCTACCTATTTCCAAAATTTGGCATAACTTGATTGAGACCAGAGGCTGGGCACAAGAAACAAAGTTAAAGGAGTGGACGTGACCTCAGGACCGTGCAAAATTTAAGAACACCCCTTATCTGATTGAGAAAGATCCGGGTGTGGCCAAAGCCCTGCTTGACCCCTATAGGATGTAAAAGATGAACCTTGATCAACTTTTAGGCTTGCGTGCCGCCTTTCATACATTGCCTCTAAATTATAAACGTACGTAAATTTACGTAATTTTTGTGTTCGCCGTGTTTTTACTTTAAAATGGTCGTGCTGCAAAATCCGTAACTGGTAAACCGGCCTTTTTTTAAAATGACATCTTGAAGAATTCAATACTATTAGGCACTGTTTGGTTTGCTTACAGAACTAGGACAGGAAGTAATTTTCCATACCCTGAACTACAATTTCTAATTCACGGCATGCTCTTTGACAAATGGCTATTGCTATAGGCCATTTCCTAGTTCCAAAAACCCTTACTCTGAAAACAAGTGTAAGTGCAAAACCTTAATTTCTTGTGATAATGAGTTTTATTTGCGGGACAATTAAAACAATAATTTTCATATCAATGGTTTCTCACGTACTCTCGCATTGAGGTAGAGGTTTCGGGCAACTCGGAAATATAATTTTTTGACGTGGTGATCTATAATGAGCACATTCGTTTCCTGTAAGGAACGACGTTTAACACGCATTTTGTCGCATTCATAACTATTCCCAATCCTTAAAAGACACGCACATTAGCGGGGAGCATTTATTAGCTCAGAGCCCTTAAACATGTCGTTGATAGTTTTAGCAGTCGCAGTTATTCTTGTTTTCGGTGGTTCCGCTCAGGGAAAACCTAACTTCAACATTAAATCATTGAGTACGGATCAGCAACCCCAGCAGCAGCCAATAGATCAAACTATTAACATTAACAACTGGGGCCTCAAAAACGATGACCGTCAAATGTTGCTGGAGATGAAATACAAGATCGACTATTTGTATAACAAATCGACATCTAGAGGTAACTCGAGAGTTATCTGTGTTTCTATCCTCGAGGGGTTACTCTTTATAAGGGCCTGGGGCCGGGATTTCGCGAATTGAAGTCATGATTTGAAAGCATGGGGAGATTTATCATTACATAAAGATGTCTCAAAGGGCGAGCTTTTAATCAAAATTACGTGCATAACGAGAAGGCTGCTCGATTTAGTGCCCTTCAGGTATTAGAACTGCTATAAAGTCAAATATAATCCTGCTTATAAAA